AACTTTTCTCTCTTTTTGATTCCCATGGATGTAAACAAATTTGAGAAGCGACCTACATATTAAAGTCCCCCCGGTAGTGCCAACAAAAGTAGGGAGGTGCATCAATCACAATATATATATATTAAAAAAATAAGAAATAAAAAATAAAAACTAAATCTGACACAATACATTTTCTTTTAAAAACAAGTTCAGACGACTCAACTTTATTTAGTGTTCACAGCTTTCTGGGGAGCCGCTATAAAAACAAACAGTTGTCAGTGTGGAGGTTGCTGTCAGTTTTATAGATGGAACCTGCCAGAAAAATGTAGGATCAGCATCAGAGGATTTTTTTAGTCCGCTGTATTGATACTTTGCAGCTGATGTCATCAATGTTTCGGGGTGTGAAGTTAACTAGAGGCACTGCTCTGTTTTGAGGTTTGATACTCAAGTTAGAGGTTAATCCAAGCTGGTCATACAGAACCAGTGGTGGAATGTAACCAAAAAAAAAAAAAAAAAGGTAGGAAAGTACTGTATTTAAGTAAAAAACATGGGTATCTGTACTTAACTTTCGCAATTTTAAAGTGGATACATTTACTTTTACTTTACTATAACTGAGAGCAGGTATGTGTACTTTCCACTCCACTACATTTTGGAACAGGACTGACAAGTTAGTAAGTTTGTTTTTTTTTAGTTATTGTTTGACACCTGCTGAAAATGGGGCTTTTGTAGTTTGAGCAAATTAAATTATACAGATAGCAATCAAATAAATAAAAAAATAACTGATTCAGTTGTTTATACCAAACAAAATTCAGCACAAATCTGTATTAAAAATCACTACAGACCACAAAATACGCACTAAATACTATATATTCTTTAACTACTTTAATACTTTTACCTCAGTACATTTTTTCATGTGATACCTTTACTTTTACTTGAGTTTTTCATTTTATTTTTTTATTTTTTTGCTCCAGGATCCGTACTTTTACTTAACAAAACGGAGTACTTCTTGCACCACAGTACAGAACTGACTTAATTGGAACTCTGATTTGTACAGCTAAATCCCTCTAAAATTTCATTAGTCACAAGAAAGTTAGTATTAGCCGACTGTTTTTCACTCTGACCCTTTTAATTGAAAATCAAACACCTTGTATTAAACCTTGTATTAGTCATAGGCTATAAATGTGTTGTTTTAATCTGTTTTGTAATTCTTAGAAAGAAAATCATTATAACTTAACAAGCTGTCATTCAATGAAATGAGAGAATTGTGTTACAACAAATGACAAAATCAATCTTTCAGTTCTTGAGTTTAAAAGAAAAAAAAATAGTACAATGGGTCATATTTTCATTTTCCTTTATTTTTATGCCTGCGGGATATAAGAAGTGAAATTGGGGTGAAGAAACAAATAATTATTGTTGTTTTCAAAAAGCTAAAAGCTACTGGAGTGTGTTCAAATATGTTTCACCCTGGTGCTCTTCAGACTTTGGAAAACTTTACAAATACCTACTGTTTTTATTTATTCTTCCTTGACAAACCATTACCATTTTTAGTCATTTTTTCAACAACTCAACTTAATTTGTCTACTCCAAATGTCAACAACAGCCGTCTAGCTATAAATCTGCTTTACCAAATTGTCATTGCACTTTTTAAAGGCCAAATTGTTTCTCATCTGTCAATCAAAAGTTTGGCGATTGCCGACCCTGTGTAAAATGTTTCGTATTTCAAGTTCCCCTGTTCATCTGTCTGCCAAGTCTCCAGTTTATATTGACAAGAAGGTAGTTGGAAAACAATTGGATGAGTATTGATTGACATCTTGATATCAGGTTAGTGCAGGTGGGCTTGGTGTCAGTCAGACGCATTAGGAGCATGAGGTAATTGTAGCTCATGTAACACTGTCTATCCATTAGTATTCAACATGAGCCAAACTGGGACTAAGCAAAGGTCAAGCAAATCAATACAAGCCCATAGCAGCCCATTGTAAACAGGAGTCTGGGTTTCACTCTTCACTGGTGGTAGAGAGGCGGCAAAATGAATTCGAGTCTGACTAAAATTTGTTTCATAAGTGGAGATGAGTGGAAAGTCAAGATAAGAGTGAAAAGTGGAGATGGGGCGACTGTGGTTTAGCTGGAATTTGTGTTCGTCCGCTGATCTGAAAGTTGGCAGTTTGAATCCCAATCTGGACATAAACTTCACTGGTTGAGCGGTCAAGTCCCACAAATTGGTAAATTAATGCTTTTGTTGTGTCCTTGGGCACCCACCAGGGTGTGCGTACATTGGTGTATGAATGTGTGTTTGAATGGGTGAGTTCTTTGATGTTCCTTGATGTCATGAGTTCCATTTCCTAGTGAGCCAGAGTGTTGGAGACGTGTGGAGACACTTTTTAAACTATTCCATCCAGTCCTTGTATTTGCAGAGGTCGCTGGTGCTAGGCTAGTGCATGTCAATGCCATAGTTTTAGAAGCAAAACCAACCTTGTATTTGAATGATTTATGTCTGAGCAGCAGTGAGTTGTACTTCCTGACAGAAAGCTTGGCAGTGGCGGACTGATATATGAGAAAATAGTCCCTCAACATGCGGCAATTCATGCAATGCGAGGTTAGTTTTATTTCAAGCATTATTCTATCAACACAGACATTTACATCAACAGTCTGGTGTAATAATAGATTTACTTCGGGTACTTTGTGGAGTAGGTAAGACTGTTTTTAGTGGCAGGCTAACTATGGCCATTGACATGCGCTAGTTGACCTAGCACCAGCGACCTCTGCAACTACAAGGACTGGATGAGATATTTAAAAAAGTGTCTCCACACGTCTCCATCACTCTGGCTCACTAGGAAATGAGGTCCTATGTCCAAAATTCTGGACTGTCCCTTTAAAGTCATTATACCTTCACTAGAATCATTTGGATGATTTCTGGTGTGGAAATGCCAATCTCTACTACAGGTAAAAGGTAGCTGTTAACTTAAAAACTACCACTACATGACATCACAAGGTGGAATAGAGCATTTTGAGCTTTGGAGATGTAGACAGACTACTAATAAAGTGTGAATGAAACAAAACACAGCTCTGGGTATAGGATCTTTAAAACCTCCAGAAAAGCAACTGAGAGACCATTCACCAGAAAAGTTACACAGTCCACCTTTAAATGTCTTAACTGTTCAACCAACAGGCTCAAAACCTCAAAAATCAACTAAAACTTAACATTTTACTTGTGATGTTTCGACTTAAGAATGTCAAAATACGGCAGGAAGTGTTCTTTTGTTGAATACATTTCAGATGATTTGCACAACAGCTAGACCAGCGCCTTCACTCTCACTAATGGACCCTGCCTTAATGCGCCTTTATTTACAAGGCTTCATTAAAAAGGACATGCTGACTGGAACAAACCATAATGACTTCAATCCAACTGGCTCCAACACAGAAGAAGAAACCAGCGCAGCCACCCATGTCCATCACATTTTATAGTCGAAATTTTGGACTACTTTATTCCTTTTTTACCATAATGTTTTTACACTGTGAACTCTGAGACAAGGACAAGAAGTTTGCATGTCTGAACAAAATTAATTATGGAATTTTGGGTTCACTCAACTTGGACCTTTAGTGCTTGGCAAACATCATTAAAACAACAATGGACAAAATGAACTGCGCTGCTCCCCATAAGCGGCATTTTGTTATCACCGGATTATAATGAGTGTATCTATGACGACCGCAAAACACATGCAAGATTTTGAGGTTGCTGAGTTCAAAGTTGTCTTCTAAAACCAGAACATTAGTCTTTTGTTAGAGAAAAAAAAAAAAAAGCTATTTGATTTGCATAATAATTATTAAGGCTCATGAGCTCTGTGGTTCAGCAGGGTCAAAAACATAACTTAAAAGTAAAATTTTTTTTTTTTTTTTAGTTACACAATACATTTATTCAGCATTCCTCTCTCAAAAAACACTTTATTGATATGCAAAACTGTCAAACTGAAAATAAATATACGCTACAAATATGTACCTAAGAGCAGTTTCGCGATGTATAAACGTAAAATGAATAAAATATACTTTGAACATGAAATAAGGCATAGAAAAACTTAAATGTATCCAAAATAAACTACATATTCAGCTGTTCTGCAAGCTTTATATTCAGACTACTTATGAGTTTGGAGATCATTTGGCACACAAATTGAAATTGCGATCCAAATTCATTGAATTGCACAGCCTTACCCTGTGGCTCTACTAGAAAAGTTACACACACTGCAACTTTTATGCAACCAGTTCCAATGAAATACTCTGGAAAGGTTTTGAAATTGTACCTCTCAATTGACTCTTGCTATCTTTGCTACTTATTTTGAACTTCAGTACCTTTTATTTCTATTGCTTGTTGATGTCACTGGGTCCAAGTAATTTCCTTTGTGGATCAATAAAGTTTGTCTAAGTACAAAATTTAATAAGATTTGTCACCACTCTTAAGGAATCAATGTGTACTGTTATATTAATTGTTCTTAAAGGTCTAATATTACTCAAAATGTACTCTTGTGAATGTTGTTACCTCATCAAAAACATACCTGGAGTTGTGTTTTGTTTCATTCACTCTCAAAATACATTCTCTGTTTCACCTTTTGAGGTCATGAAGTTGTAGCTTTCAAGTTAACAGCTACCTTTTACCTTTTGTTAAGCTAAGATTGACAATTAAAGGGCTGACATTATCCAAATGATTCTAGTGAAAGCGCATGAAGTTTAAAAACACAGTGGAGCACATCCTGTATTACCACAGGACATCACAAGGTGGAACAGAGGTGGAACTCAGCTTAAATTTGCAGGACTTGTGTGTTAAACATGTGTGAAAGAAACAAAACACAACTCCAGGTACATTTTGATGAGGAAACAACATTATAACATAGATCATAAAATAGTGTAATATAGGCCTCTTAATGTTAACTAGTTTTGCTGTTGTCTTTACTAGAATTAATGAAAGAAACTTAAAAAGTCATAACCCAAATTAATCTTCTAATGATACTTTTTAAGATCCATTTTCATCCTACCTCGCTGAAGTTCTCCGGTCCACACTCTTCTCCTCTGAAGTTGCATTCTAGCAGCATGTCTTCCATGCGGTGCCTCGTACGATTGTAGAACTCGTCCAGGCTGAACCTTGACCCCGGAGGTCGGTCTGGCTCAGGGGCGAGAGGGAAACCTGGAGCCATACCTTCTTCAAATCCCAAAAGAGGTCCCATGAAAATCAGATCGCTGTAACTCATCTGCGATTTCCTTATAAAGTTATAGTTGCACATAGTTATCGCGGGGAAGGTTAGATTCTTCGCCACTCTTTCATCCAACATTGTGATATGATCGTACTGAAGATAGTAAATGACTCTGTCTGCGACTTGGAATAAAAACATGGAAAGCGCCGAAAGAAAGACCACCGCCCATAAACCTTGGCGAATCCCAAACTTCTGATCCTCGACGAAAATGTGGTTAGCACCGTGTAGCGAGCAACCGCCGAAGAACGCAGCCAAATCGTCGACTTCTCCAATCTCTTCTTCTTCCTCTTCGTAGTCCTCCGCCTGGCCGGTCGGGTCCAGGTGGTCTTGGGATCCCGTGTCGCTGTAACTCTTCGGAACTCGCATGTAGTGGTCGTCAAAGTCTCCCTTTCCGTAGCCTCGTACAGGTTCGTCATCAGAGGTGAAGGAGATGGTGCACATAATACGGACAGGCATGGTGGAGGTTTGGAAGATTGACGAAGGAAGTTGAAAAAGTCAAAAGATGCTAGTTGAAATCTGTTCCAAAATAGATGGAAACTAACTAAAACGCCAGCTGATCGCCCAATGAGCAAAGGGGAAGTTAGCTCGAGCAGGACAGCAATGTTGACGTTTATCAGAATCTGTTATGAAATCTCCAAAAAGGCAAAGTCTCCAATTACAATCACACCAAATCTTGATGAAAAAATTGTAGCACCAAGTCGAAATATATGCTCAAAACTCCTTTACAAGTCCAACAAATACACAGACACTATCAAAAACATGAAATTAGCCAACTCACGCTATTTACCCCGAGTTTCGCAATGCAGATTAAAACAGTCCACTCCGCAAAGCAATTCTCAAAGCGTCAAGTCTTGGTCTGGGGATTGATCGTCCTTCCTTGAGACTAAGAAGAAAGGAGATGAGGAGTCTTGGATGTGGGAGGAGGAAGAAGAGGGGTAGGTGAGGCCAGAAGAAGCTCAGAGGACACACAATACCCCCACCGGGCCCCGCTACAGGTCACCGTCCCGGGGCAGGATTTCAGCGTTTCCAGGAAAAAAGATCCAGGGTTTTGACGCAGTGGCAGGAGATGGGACACTGGATCAGCCAATGGAAAACCAGGCTATGTGAGGTTTCTGCTGATTGCATCGATTGTACCTGATGCCCTCACGAATGCAGTAATAAATGAATGTGTAAGTAAAAGAGAATATGGAAAGAAAAATTCAATGTTGGGATGATGCTAAGTAGTATAGCCACTGAAAAGAAGTTGTATTTAGTAGCAATTGGATGTAAAGAGCCTGTATTACGCTATTTTGATCCATGTTATAATGTCTGAGTTGTATAAAAACACAACTCAGAATTTATTGGAGGAGATGACAACATTATAACAGGGCTAAAAGCTCACAAGAATCCATTTTGTGTAAAACAGCACATTTAAATTGAGAGAATGATTCAGTCATTTCTAATTGTCACTGATCAGCTTGGGTCTTTTCAATGGAGGAGTCTACAGAAAGTCCCCTGCCAATAAAAGCATGTGGTTTGGAGCAGAGTTCAGAGTTTGGAGGAGAAATAACAGTCTGTATTAATAATGAAGTTGGATCAACGATTGTGGTTGACTAAAATATATCACCCAGCTTCAGTAGCAATACAAAAATATTAACTTTACAAATTTAGGTGATAAGCCATGTTAGTGTTTGAATATAATATAATATGTCACAGGTCCCTTTATATCAGGGGTCACCAACACGATGCCCGCTGGCACCAGGTAGGGCAGATCTAAAAATAGCACAACTCATAAATGAGCTGCATCTAAGATTTTATTTTATTCTGTTGCTCTTCCTTTTTTAATCACCCTTGCATTTATATAGATTTAAAAATGACAGTATCTTAAAAATATGTTCATTATACATGAAGTTTAGATGAGCCATTTAGATGAGCGAGCAGTTTTTTATTAATAAAGTTAAAGTGCTGAATATTGATGTCCGTTTCTCACCTTGCTGTCATTGTTGATAATTATTGTGAGGAATAATGAACGTGATCAGTGTCTTGATTATTATTCATTATTAATAATGTATAAGTAAAGACAAACTGAGCAAATGTGTTTTTTTCAGAAGAGCGTATCAAACCGGTTCCCCTTCATGTGATTCAGTGCCCATGAAGTAGCTCTCAGCTTCAAAAAAGATACATGTCCCCAGCTTTATATGGACTAAAGACATTTTAGTTTAAAAGTAAATAAAATGTTAGCTTCATCAGCGGGTTTCACTTTGTGGAAACCATCTGACCGTGCAGCATTAGGATTAGGACAGTAGAAGGGTACTTTTTTAATTTAACCATTCACTGCTATTTGTTCATGACATATGTAATGCTCTGCTAATGGGTCTAACTGGTACTGTATTTTCCGGGCTATTAGGCGCACTCTTAAGACTCTAACCCTATCAAAACACGGCCGCAATCCAGAGCGCCCCATACAAGAATTCACTCAGGTGTCCAAACACGACTTCAGTAAACTACAAAGCCGCATCACCCGCAGCGCACGCAAACACGCACGGAGCAGACAGCGACCGCGCAGTAACAAACACCCGCAGCCACACTCATCACTCCACACGGACGAGGAACGGAATGAAGGAACGAACCGAAAAAGCGAGTGCAATGTGCCACTCTGAGCCACAACTGAACAACTGAGTCACTGCGAACACGCCGACAATCCAGCGGTCCCAGACAGCACCCTCCCTACACGCCACAACTAAACAAAGCTGAGATTCACTGTGAACGCGCCAAACAAAGTCTGACTGACCCATCTAACTGTTGTATTTCGTTTAAAGTCCGGTGCAGTTTATTTGTGAAAAAAGTTCGAAAATAGACCATTTAATGACAGTGCATCTTACAATCCAGAGCGCTTAATAGCCTGGAAAATACGGTATATTAAACTTTTCCCAGATCCGGCAGGAAGAAGGGCAATAACGTCTTTCCCCTTGATAAAATTCACCAAACATTCTCTTTGTTCCGGCTTTAAATCCTCGATCTCGGGAATCGTTGCCAACACAGAATGTTTGGCTCTTCGCTGAATGGCTGGTGCCAGGACTCGCACTTCCGGGGTTCTTGCAAACCATCTATTGTATTCTGATTCCTGACCTAGTCACAGGAGAGAAATGAAATTGAGCAGAGGCATTAGGTCGTGCCAGCCTGGCTAATAAAATGTACCATATTATCACATCTCAGCGACAGAGAATCTTTTTAGAGGCAGACCAGATTTTAATAATTTATTACTTCTTCTGAAAGTTGCCAATTCACTGTGATCCAGCTGTCACTCACTGAGCCTTACACAGACTAAGGGAGAATCGGATGGGGAAAAGTTTGTGTTTGTGCGCAGAGAAAGTGAATCACAATATGACAAAAAAGCAGACTGTCACAGGAATGAGATGATGACTCAATTTTTACTGCCATGCCACCCAGCCCTTAACAGAACCCACAGCAAAATTTGCCGTTTTGTTCTTGACTCATTACAAATCTTTCTTTATCAATATTTTTTTTTATGTTTAATGGCTCAAACTTTAGTCACAGCACAGCCTAACATTGATCGGGCTCTCATATTCACATTACCTAAGCCAATCAATAGACTACAAGATATGAATCCAACTTGTACTGGAAGTAGGGCAACTATATATGAACATTTTCTATTTAATTATTTATACAGTATCATTCTCAAGCTGTCAACTTAACATGCAAATATGTGTCACTTTTAAATGACAGATGGAGCAAAGCACTAGACATCCAACTTGATTTTTTTCCTTTTTTCGCAACCTAGCAACACTTAAAACTTCCCCAATCAAGACCAATCAAGCGGAGAGCATCAAAGTCATCGCATTTAATCAAGACCTCCATTCGCTCACTGTTACCTCAACCTGACAGCTCATTTTACCTACAATGCCTCGCAAATTATAAACAACTGAAGTGCCGCGAGCTGTACATTGGAAATCAGGAAAGGGAAAATATAACGTACAATCTTATGTGCAGAGTCGTATTATTGAATTCCAAGAGCGCGGATCCCAGCGGTGGTGTTAGCTGCGATATGAAAAGGAAAATGGCTGATCCGTCTTCATTGATTGACCCCTTTTATATGTGGTATTATTTTGCAGAAACATAATGGCGTCTGGAGATATAATGTGACACTTGGCAAGCATAAGACTTTACAATGAAAGCGTATTATAATAGAATATGATAGGACTGCAGTATGATGGTATAACGCTAGTGCCAACTTACATCAATGAATGACCATATCTAAAAGGTTGGAGAGAATGATGAGTGATGATAAGACTTAAAGGTCTACAGTGCAACTTTTTGGAGTGGAGAATCGGTCATCTGCTTGTCTCCATGGAGATGCCATTGCTTTGTCATTTTTGTATCTTAATGGAGACAAGCAGGCCAAATTACAGGTTGGAATTAAGAAGAGGTGACCCCACTCACATAAGAATACATGTTTTTTGTGTAGTTAAAAGCAGTAAAAATTGTTGTAATGAAGTAAATGCAAGATAAAGTTACTGTATTTTTCGGACTATAAAGCGTGCCAGATTATAAGACGCAATATCAGTAATGTTGAATTCTCTCGTCTATTTTCATACATAAGACGAACCGAATTATAAGGAGCATTCAGTGAAACAAAACAGTCAAATAAGTCAAACTTTATTCAACTCATTCACAGTAACTCTCAACATTGTTCAGCTGTAACACAACTGCTTTGGGCGGCAGTAGCTCAGTTGGTAGAGCATTTGCCCACTGATCTGAAGGTTGCTGGTGTGATTCCAGCTCCCACAGATGAATGCTGTCATTGTGTCCTTGGGCAAGACACTTAACCCACCTTGCCCACAGTGTCTGCGTACACTGGTGTGTGAATGGGTGAGTGGTTCCTTGTTGTAAAGCGCTTTGAGTGCCTTGAAGGTGGAAAAGCGCTATAGAAAAATGTGACCATTTACCATGACCATTTTCAGTTCATTCCTCTTCCACAAAACCATCAAATTCTTCATCTTCAGTGTCTAAGTTTAACAGTTGGAGGATTTTGGCGTCAAGCCCGGATCCCTCTCGTCATTATCCAAGTCAGTCTAGTCACTGTTACTTAGTTGTTCAGTGATGATTCCGGCCTTCGTGAAAGCTCGGACGACACTTGAGACTGAGACCTTTGCCCAGGCATCCACGATCCAATCGTGGCGTGTACACCGTTCAGACAGTTAAGCACACCAGAGTTACAATTAACACCAACAAAGAACTTATGCAAAGAAGATACAACTCAGAATCTTATAATATGAAATTATTTGTCAAACATCATCATCCGGAAATAATAATTCCAAAAAGAACCCATAATTCTATGCTGGATCTCTTATAAGCTTCTCTTTGAACCGGTGTCTATATGTTTTTCATCTGAGGTTTAAGCAGCTTTGAAATTTATGTTAGCGCATTGGAGCTAGTAACAAATCAAAACTTCTTGG